TCTTCGAGCTTCTTCAATTTCTCATCGCCTGTTCCATTTACTGTTCTGATCTCGGTCTTAATCTCTGTTCGGTTTCTGAAGTAGTAACAATTTTGGAACAATTTTGTGGCTAAGTGCAAGCGTTCCTTCTGGGCTCTGGCACCAAATCGAGTTAGTCACTAGTCAGAACTGTACGTATAGGCATACACGAATTCGGGTCGTTCTATGTATATATCTCATTAGTCGGAGTTGATTAATAAATGTAGTGTATTAGTGAACTTGTGTTTTATTGATCAGTATAAATCGAGTAGAAAAAATACTGTCTATGACATACAAGATCGTAACAATCTCTATTGGATTTCTAATGAAAAGTGCTTCTATTATTGAATAACTTGATTTGTAGGTTGGGTCATATTTCGTTTTCCAACACCCGTACTCTCATTCGATTTTCTGAAGCTTCCAGTACAAACATGATACAAATAAATGATCTGCTCAATGAACCGTTATAATTGCCATTTCAAACTGGCAATTATTGCTGAATGTAAGTTCAAAATAGCAATTATGGCTAATTGCCAGGTCAAACGGGCAATTATGACTAAATATACCAGTTCGAACAAGCAATTATGGCTAATTGCGAGTTCAAACTGGCAATTAATAAAAACAAATTCATCATGCCCGTTCAGCGCTTTCATGGCTTTCATTGAACAAGATGAAACTCGTATAATACGACGGCTATGGATCATCATCCTTTTTCACACTAACTCACAGTTGTCCTGATGTACATACAATAGTTGTTACTATAAATCTTGCAACTATTAATCAGAAGTATTTTCTACACATTCCCTAATTCACAGTATAATTGTAAACGAGGGTAGGCAATTAAAACATATTTTACACATCTTTATAGTTGCAACGCAACTGTAAATTAGGTCAAAGACGCGTGAAAAAAATGTGTTTAGGATGTCAGTTGAGAGCTGTCATATTTCGATTCACTATAGTGGTGGAACACCTTGGGTGGAACCTATAAAAACTTAGTGTCTATTTAGTCAACTTTGTCTTCGTCTCAAGTCTTAGTCTTCAGCTCTAGTCTCAGTCTTTATCTTTAAGAATAAGGATATGACTTCGACAAATGACACAAATGTCAGTCACAGAAATGTCAGGCAAACTTTATTCATTCTTCTGAATTTCATTGTTGATATTTTTTAAATTGAAAAAGATGGATTATTGCTTTAATAGTCAAGCATTAATCACAACCAGTTTGTATTATTTGATTGTTGTAGTCGTTTTTCAATAATGCCATGCACGCACTGAGCACGGGCACTGACGTCATGGTCCTACTCCTAAGCATAAAAGTTGAGAATTGGGAACTCTCAAGGTCACGTTTTTAGAAGTGATACTTGAGATTGTGACAAATACTGTTGTAAAAATGCTCTTATATGCGAATGTGTAGAATCAACTTAGTTTAAAGACTAAAATTTGAACAAGGACTGAGACTGAGACGAAGACAGAGTTGACTAAATAGACCCTTACTGCTGCCTATAGTTTGGTGTCCTGAAAACAAGCCTACCTAACCTAACCTGACTGGTATAAAACGCTCTAGTGTGCAAAGGCTTGCCGACTGAAAGAAAATGGTGTTCCGAATGCTCTACACGTCGTGGTTAACACGTTGATATATGAATAAGAATATTCCGTTATATTCCTCAGGAGTCAACTGAGTTAAATTTTGAGTCCCAATAGCTGCATCCCCACAAACTATTTAAACTTGATATTTATGTGTATATCTATCCTGTAGTTAATTAACTAGGTATATACCCACCTATATGCCCATATTATTATTCACAAAAACTCGGATTCTTGTTCCGTGCGAAAAGCTACTTTACACCTCAACAGCTTCTCATGATCTACAAAGCGCAGATACGGCCTGTTCTAGAATACTGTTCCCACAGCACCAAAACATACGCTGATGCTCTTAGATTCCATCCAGAGAAGAGCCATTCGCCTGGTGGGTGACGCCACACTCACTCACTCTTTGACATCATTGGAACACCGTAGAAAGGTCGGCGACCTTTCACTTTTCTATCGATACTTCCACGGGAAATGTTCTTCGGAAATCTCTGCAATCATCCCTTCACTAGCAATACCAATCAGACGAACTAGACAAGCCCAGTCAGCACATCCTTTCGTTGTCAACCTCGAAAGATGTCGAACAGCACTTTATCAAGACTCCTTCATCCATAGAACGGCTAGGCTCTGGAATTCATTGCCTGTGGAAGTATTCCCAACAACATATAATCTCCAAAAATTCAAAAAAAATACCAATACCTACCTCCTGTCCCTATCCTCCCTAGGAACGCACGATGTTCTTTGAACATTATAGGGATTCCCTTTCGTGCGCTCCAATCGATAAAAAAAAAATATTCTCAAATGTAATTCAATATTGATTGGAACGCTCAAAATCAACATTAGGGCACATTCAATGATCGTTATACAGACTCAATCGATATATCAAACGAAGACTTTCCCAAATCAAGTTACCCTTTTCCTCATCGAGATTCCCTCACTCTCGAATGCACATCAAAGTCAATCACGAAGCCATCCACGGTAATTTCCATTCCGAAATAGTAATAACGTTTCGTCTGCCAAACAAACGGCGTATTTAGCAAATTAATTGGTGCAGCCGTGATAACGTTTGTGAGATTGTATCAAGATGGGACTATTCATCTCTTTTCGGAGGGCCTCGAAGAATACAAAGCACGTAATAGATTGTTTCCTGTCCACACGGACGGGCACTTTGTCAAGATCTGAAAGTCATGCTGGAGCGATAAGGTGAGAAGTAAGAAGCGATAAACCAAAAATAGCAGATGGGCAGATCCCGAGGAGAGGCATATGGAGCTGAATGTTTCTCACTCCAGGATCGTCAGTGGTTTCTTCACACACTACTCGGAAGCTCGGTCCATTGGAAATTCTGAAAGGGACTGTCGCTCGGACTGTCGTCTGTCTCAATCACAACCATATTATGCAAACTACTAATAGGTAGAGTCACTGGATGGTATTAGTTAGAGTCACTGGATGGTATTTGTTAGAGTCACTGGATGGTATTGTATTAGTAGATAAGAGTTCGGACACAGCTGAACTTATGTCCTTTTCTATTTCATATATTACAATGGTTTGGGTGAATCAAAGGATAAGACATATATTACTACAGGGAATGCCTGAAACTATTAGGCAAACGGTGTACGAAATTTAGAGTTACTCGGTTTGCCGGCAAAACGAATCTGAAGATTTATTTATATGATTGTGATCCCCGGCTAATTTTAATGAAATATGATCCCCACAATATCAGTAATATTTCACAATATTTTGGTACACTTTAAACAGAAGAAAGGTAGAGAAATACTTATAATTATCAAAATCGACGAAATGCAGTGCGACATAAGTAAAGCAACAAATTGTGTCAACAGTATTTTATTCTAGATATTACGATGAAAGAACATTAAACACATTTAATAATCACAATAGCCAGAAGTATTATATTAATAGTTAATAGAATATCCATTATTATTTATTACTTGCCGACAACGTCGCGGCATTGAATCAATTAATTTTTGAAAAGTATTTTCGGGAAGATTTGTCCAAACTTCATTGATTTTATTTACCAATGATTGTTTATTTGGAAATATTTGTGTACGAATTCCACGTTCTACTTCCTCCCATAGATTTTCAATGGGGTTAGGGTCTGGGGATTATGCCGGCCACTGCAAAACCCGAACATTATTTACTTGAAACCACTCTTGAACAATTCGTGAAGAGTGTTTTGGATCGTTATCCTGTTGGAAAATAGAACTCAACGGCATTTCCCACTCTGCATAAGGCAACATTACATTTTGCATTATATCTCTATAGACAAATCGATCCATGGTGGCATTAATAAAGCTTAAAGGGCCTACCCCATTCCATGAGAAACAACCCCATAGAAAAACACTGCCTTTACCATGTTTAACTGTGGGTGTAACGTATTTGGGATTAAACCTTGTGTTGATTGGCCGTCTCACAAGCTTCATTCCATCAGAATTGAAAATCTCATAACGCGTTTCATCGCTAAATAGAACTTTTTTCCACTCGTCTACTGTCCAATTCAAATGTCGACGTGCAAATTCAAGCCTAGCCACTCTATTTCTTGCCGAAATAAGCGGTTTTTTAGCGGGGCGTCTACTAAATAGCTTTGCGTCTACCAACCTTCTTTGGACTGTTCGTGGACTAACCATAATTCCGGGAATTTCAGCAATAATTCTAGGTGCAGACAACCAAGGATCGTTCTGAGAAATTCTTTTAATACGTCTGTCTGTCCAAATTGTTGTTTTTCTCGGTCTTCCCGATTTAGTTAGAATCTCAAAATGTCCCCTTTCATGGTAACTTGAAATTATTTTGGATACGCTGTATCTGGGTAAAACAAACCGTCTTGAAATTGTGGCTTGTATTGCACCTTCCAAGTACGCATTTACTACTCTCTGCTTCAATTCTTTTGCAATTGGAATACCTCTTGGCATGATTAATTCAGCACAGAAATATTAGTTAAACATAAAATAAAGTCGGCAATTTTTTTTTTACTTTTCCTTTCACTAAAACCTTTGTTTTTTAGAAAAATATTAAAATGTTGCTTTACTTTTGACGTATTACAATTCGGTATTTGAAAGTTTACGTCAATATCAGTTCATTTGTTTTGATTGTTGGAAGAAGCTGTTGACGTCGATAACAGCAGCCTACTTTGATATTTAAGACACAATGTATTTGAATACAATATCATGCATTCACTATTATAAAATCGAGATTTCCTTCATTTTTCGAAAGTGTTGCTTTACTTTTGTCCGATAGTGTAGATTACTGAAAATTCCTGCTATTCGAAATAATTGAGCAACCAAACGCACCAGAGGCGCTGGCGAAAATGAAACCAGTGTTTAACATGTACGTTAGAGGTTAGACATCTATAGAGAGTGTAGTTTATCTGTGTCACTGACGCTCACCTGGACGTCATAGGCTGCCCGCCCGCCGACATCCTCCTGCCCATCCCGAACGAGTGCACCTTCTCCGCCAGGCTCTCGAGCGTGTTATTCGGGTGGCTCGGGTAGCCGCGCTCGTACGGCCGGAAGGGTGGCCCGCCCCCCTTGGGCTGCTCCGTGACGACGGGCGGCGGCGGCTGGTAGCCCCATCCGACGTCGGGCGGCCGGCTGTTGTAGTAGAGGTCGAGGTTGGCGTCGGCGGGTTGGGCAGCGGGCGGCGGATGGGGCGGCAGGGCGGGCAGGCCGAGGGCGAGGCGCGAGCGGGAGTCGGAGGTCTCGCGGCCGTCGCCCGTGTGGCGCTGTCTCATGTTTTCTCTGGAATGGAATAACAGAAGAGATTGATATAAGGCGTAAGTTGTGCGATATCTGACCATAAGTAAGTTTCCCACGCCGGCGGGAGTAGAAGTTTCTCTGGTAACAAAAGAGGGGCATAAGTCTCGTGTTATTCCCTAGGGAGATAATGTGACATAAACTGGTCAACATTGATAACGTCGTGGTCCAAAGTATAACCTGAATTCAAAGTAGAATAACTCACGAATTTCCTTACTAATTTGAAATCGGTTTTCACCGATGAATAGCCTAATCTCTTGACAGTTTGTTGTGGCAATATGAAACTTCTGTAATTCCAGATAACATTGCTGCAGGGTGATAATTGAATGGGTGTGACATTGCATCATGGTCGTCACCTTACCGTTTGAACAGATCTTTTTTTTTTTCACCTGTATCCTCTTAATTGATCCTTTCTCTCGAAACGTTTTCGGAATTTTCAAATTCAGAGCTTTGATAATCGTGTTATAAATATTCATTCAAAATGATGCATTTTTTGACGATTAATTGAATGAAATTGAAAGTTGGAATTCTTTTTCGAAGAATCAACCTTGTATGTATAGTCGTCGCGTATAATATGTGATCGTGTTCGAACACAGAAAATTCTGAGGTAGTCTATACAAAGTGATACAAGAAATACTGAATGATGGAATGGAGAATAACGTAGTCTTCAGTAGATGAAACATAATTTTCTCTGTGTTACTAGTGAAATAATGGAGTGTTACTTTGTCATGAGGATGTCTGGTGTCTGACCTCGAAATGGCTTTGTAATTTCTCGGATCGAAGGTCACATGATGAAGGTACGCATTTTTCATCAATATGATGCATTTTCGTCAAGATAAATTATAGAATGCAAAAAATTACGGTTGTAGTTCCAGAAGAATGAAATTTATATTCATTCTTGATGATGGATATACAAGGTTCGATACAAAATATGTCCAGATTGTCCCGGGATGAAGAAGATTATGTTTAAACGTGGTGAAAATCACCATGCTCCGAAAAAGCGATAGGTATAGTGTCGGCAATTGTCGGAGATTGTGAAATGTATAAATACAGTAACTTTTCATGAAGCTCATACGAGGAAATATGAAAGAGTCTGCAGAATTGCTATAGATTCGATTAAACGTTTTTCATACTAATGAAGATCAATTCAGTGAGTCCTCATGAGGCTTATACGAGGTAATATGAAGGAGACTTCACATATCGGAATGAAAGTCAATCCAAAATGCAATTAGGATTCTTTTGACGTGAGAAAATCAAAATAGCAATAATTGTAAGTATAAGTTAGGCAAGCTATTTTTTTCTCAACATAATTGGTGCAATATATAGCAACAGAGGTGAGATTTTATGAATTCCTTATTAATCACCCTGTGAAAAAGATGATGCAGAAATGAACATTTAAAACTCTATCTGGATTCAACTTTACACTGAATGACTATGAGGAAATTGTCCTTCTGAAGACCATATTGTAGGTGCTAGATCAGTATGAGATGCCATGGTAACAAGTATATGCACGAATATATGGCAATTCTGCAGTCTCTTTTATATTTCCTCTAGTATAAGCCTCATGAAAGGTTACTGTATTTATTTATTTCACAATGTCCGACAATATCGGGTCGATTCTGTTCGGATCTTATTATAACATTGCTAAGATAATAATATTGTTATGATCATAACATATAACAATATTGCTATGAAGTTCTGTATTCTGTTTGCAGGAGTTACTGCAAGACTGGTTATAAGTTCAAGTGATAGCAATATTGTTGAAAAATTGAGAATTTTTGAGCTGACAACACTGTTTTCAACTGATTGTTCAAGTGTTAGGTATCGATTCTGCCATTATTTCATGAAGAAGAAGAGTTCAACCTCTCAAATTAGTCAGTCCTGCGACCTGCACTAACATTTTACAAAATTATATTGTTCAAATCGAGAGATTTTGTATTTGCTTAATCTGGTCGTCGTTGTGCGACTGGTGCAAGTAATCAATCATGTCCCCGAAATGAAAAAACAACTAAAATCCGGATGAAACAAATTATGATTTTTTTTTAATATTCTAGCAAAATAGCTCGATAAACTATCCATCAGGCAACTGAAATTTCTCTGATATGCCGAAATTGTAGTCTCATATTTCCTCTACAAATTGGAACTTCAAGAAGAGGTTTTCAAGTAGTTGGTCACAGTACACAGCAGTGAACCTATCCTATATGTTTGTAATCACCAAGTTTTTCAATAATCCTTCTACGAATTGAAACTTTGAGGAAAGGTTTTCGAGTAATCAGTGACACAACTGAACTCTCATATGTTTTTAATCCACTATTTTCTGAATGTTCATACAGTTGGAAGAATTTGTAGTGCAAAAACAAAGAATCCACTACCATGTTATCAGATAGCAAGCACAAAATTGATGTTTCCGAGAAAGCAAGAAAGCTAACCAGATTTCATTGAAATTGGCAGATCATATTGCCAAAAATCGATGATTAGAATTCCACTTTTTCGAATCTTGCTATGATAGCAATATCTTCTCTACAACCATATTGCTATTTGCAAACAGAATCGACCCGAATGACCGACACTATATCTCTTTTTCGGAACATAGCGATTTTCATCACGTTTAAACATATTCTTCTTCATCCCGGGATAATCTGGACATATTTTTCATCGCACCTTGTACATCCATCGTCAAGAATTAATATGAATTTCATACTTCTAGAACTACAATCGTAATTTTCTGAATTTTATAATGTATCTTAACGAAAATGCATCATATTGATAAAAAATTACCTTCATTATATGACCTTCGATCCGAGAAATTACAAAAGCATTTCGAGGTCAGACACCAGACATCCTTATGACCGAAGTAACACTCCCTTATTCCACTAATAACACAGAGAAGATTATGTTTCATCTACTGAAGACTGCGTTGTTCTCCATTTCATCATTCAGTATTTCTTGTATCACTTTGTATGGACTACCTCAGAGTTTTCTGTGTTCTAACACGATCACACATCCGACGACTATACATACAAGGTTGATTCTCCGAACAAGAATTTCAACTTCCAATTCCATTCAATTAATGCATCATTTTGAATGAATATCCATATCACGATCAGCTCTGAATTTGAAAATTCCGAAAACGTTTCGAGAGAAAACATTAATTAAGACGTTACAGGTGTTAAAAAAAAATCTGTTCAAACGGTAAGGTGACGACCATGATGCAATTTTACACCCATTCAATTATCACCCTGTAGCAATGTTATCTGAGATTACAGAAGTTTCATATTGCCACAACAAACTGTCAAGAGATGAGGCTAATCATCGGTGAAAACCGATTTCAAATTGGTAAGGAAATTTGTGAGTTATTCTACTTTGAACTCAGGCTATATTTTGGACCACGACGTTATCAATGTTGACCAGTTTATTTTCTCCCTAGGGAGTTTTTTACCAACTTTACATTTTCCGCATAGCTCTGCGATTTCTTTTCGGAACACCTTACGCTGAAGCGAGTATAAGCTGCATCATACCGATTTCTAAATCTCACTGATAGCAAGTTAAGAATCACTGTACAAGCAGTATCAATATATATTTCATGGGGCATTCATAGTAAACATATAAAATGTTATATTGTTGAACCTTATCCAAATAAACCTTATTATTATTATTATTATTATATTCCCTAGATTTCTTGTTCCATATCCGTTAACCTTTCTCAAAGCTGTTTTCATAAGTTTCAGTTTGATATTTGCTGTCACCATGGCTTGCCAACAAGATGCATGTTTTCAAGATACGAATTCCATGAACTATACTACTACTATTTATGACGAAACACTTTGACCATTGTCTTCCTCAATTTTTGTGTTTTCGCCAGTGTAAAATAGTTATTCATACACCAAGGTATAGTGAAGAATATCATTATCACCCAGGGACCAAAATTATATCCCGAGGCTTCAGTCGAGGGAAGGTCCCGTGGTAATGATATTCTTTACTACCGCATGGTATATATATTAATTTTTTTTCACCACATGCAATATATTTCCATCATTATCGTTCTATGAAACTGAAATATGGACCTATTTTCACTATGAATGCACTTCCCTTCAATTCTAATCAAGATAGTAAGTAGCCATCTATATGACAGCATATGTCAAGTCGTTATTGATAAATGCGTACTAGATCCGAGTCCCATCTCTGCGGATATCGCATTAGAACAGTGAATTTGGGTTAATTATAACAGAGGTGGCTATGTCATTCTATGACGGGAAAGAAATTTGACATTTCATCTCTGTTGACAGGTTATAGAATGTCACTCTTCATGAATAACGATGTAGAGAAGGAGAAGGCGTATTTTGGAAATGAGGTCGCCAATTTCTTCTAGAAACAAAGGATGGAAACTCCAGAATCCATATCAAGGATATTAGCGTCCACCAATATGTAATCGGTGTCCTCTGAAATAGATCTGTACTAAGGCTGTGTCAAGTCATTCGTCCCACCACAGCGGTGATACCATAATGGTCAATGATTGACTTGACTTCAATTAAAAGTTAATATGGTAACTTTGTGGGCAGGTTTGAAATGTGACCGATATTACCAAACAGCTGGCTGGTCAGACTGACGGTCAGACTTCATACTGAACGTATGTGCTAGGTCAAATCACAGACTTAACACAGCCTAAGTCTCATGAAAAAATAATAAACATTACCAAAATGCAAAATCTATAGCGTGTCTTGTTTCAAACGCCCCCTCCCCCCAATACCAGAGTTATGACACGTGCGATTTTTACCAAATTGGGACCGGTATGGAAAGCCATCAATATGATCAGGTATTCAGAGACGAACATCCTGTTGGACAGTGCCGGGCTTTCTTATTATAATAAAATGGGGTCGATTTTTATTAAATCATATATATAAGGATTTTTTTTTGCATGCTAGGAAACTGAACTTCATATTATTGTTCCTCATGCTTTCGATCCTCAAAAGGCAAAAAATCCCCTC